CTTGTGGTGTTCGGCCAATCACAATGCACTGGGTCAGCTGGCCAATCAGAGCAGACTGCGCTTGTCAAAGGAGGGGGCTTTGTTGAAAACGACGTGTTTGAGAGAGGCGGGGCATAGAGGACCTACAATAATGTACAGTATTTGAAAAAGAATGTGTTTTTTGAACATTAAAGCATGTCAACATATTCTGTTACACCAAATACACAAAATAATGATCTTTAAAATAGCATCATATGACCCCTTTAAGTCATGCTCGCTCTCTTTTCACAAGATCCGCATCCGCCCTATAGAATGTCGAGTCTACAGGGAGTTGCTTGTGCTGAGAAAGTAGTCTCCGTGTTTTAAGACAGAGTGGGGAAAGGAACTCATGTCTCTCTCTCTCTTTCTGTTCCACACAGACTACATTGTTTCTGAGCTATTCAAAATAAGGTCCATAGCTCAAAGTCGAAAGTAACTGCTGATGTTCATATGCAATCTTGAGCAGTATGGACATTAACCTACATATTCATGAGAGTCTGACTCAACAATAGACCCAATTGACATTCATTGTATTGACAAAAATCTATTTATTTTGTGTTCCACAGAGGAAAGAAAGAATGTAATACAGTTTTGGAATGACATGAGTGAGTAAATGACGACAGAATATTCATTTTTGGGTGAACTATATGTGTGCCTGTCATAAGCATCCAGATGTGCACTTGCAAACAGCCCTTAATCTTTTACAGGGAAATAACTCTAATATCTCCCTTTTCTCACTCTTTGCTATACATTTACCCTAGTTAGCAGTAGCAACTTTACACACTAAGAGTAAATAGTGCTTTTGAATGGTTTTGATTTAGCAATTTGCGTCACTTTTTCATTTCACTCCTGGAGTGAAGGCTTTAAGGCAGTGTTGCTGGGACTGTTTCTAAGAAAATGTAAACCTTAAAAGTGTTTCACACTAATCCTGTAGCAACAGCAAATCTCTCTGGCACACATGTTCAACAAAGTGGACTTCATTTTTAATTAACTAACAACTGTGACTATGACGCAATGAAGACTGTAAATCAGGCTCAAGACTCAAAAGGCTTTGTTTTCTTTCTGAGTGCATGACCTTGTTATTCTGATTTTGTTTCTCTTTCTTTTCCATACTAAAAAAAATTAGCTCTCTTCCAGTATCTCCAATGAAAACTACAGTAAGAATTGCAATAAAAAAATTAATATGCTACATTTTATTTTTAATATTTAATTTTGATTTAGCTGTAATTATTTTCTATAATTAGAAAAAGTGGTTAGTAGGGCTGTGCAATATATCGAAATATTGCAAATGTACATATCTCAATATGCATATCGCTACAGCTTGCAATATTTGGGGCCATGAACAAAAGACAAAGAGAAAATCACTCACTGCTCTTACCTAAATAACTTTTGTAGCTTAAATAAGAATCAATGCATATTGAATTCAAAGAGTAAATACTACGCAGTGTTTTATTTTTCCTTTTTATTATTCAGTTCCTAAACTCATTTTAAAACGATTACACTAATGTTAAAATGAAATTTTTATGTAATGCTTGAGTAAAACACTACCGTTCACTTTCAGAAGTTGTTGTAGGGGTGCTTTCTTATTAGAATCAGAATCAGAATGAGCTTTATTCACCACTTAAGTGTGCGCAAACACAAGGAATTTGTTGTGGTTTTACAGGAACTATTGGTACATACATACATACATACAAATAACCATATAATTTTTTGACACAAGATAGTTATAGAAGTTCACAGAACTGACTCGGCAACAGCTGAGTAAAACGGTTTCATCTGAGCATGTTGCACCTTAAGCATTATCGTATCGCATGTCGAATATCACATTATTTAATGAGTTATCGCATATCGCATTTTTCTTCAATATCGCACAGCCCTAGTGGTTAGTGTTCACCTGTGGAATGCCATTTATATTCCAATTCAATTCTTGAATTTGAACTGCACTTGAATTGTGGTCACAAACAGTATGTAGAACTACAAATTTAAACAAATAAAATCCATTGAAATTCTAATAAATTTATACACTATCTGGGTGTTTTCCAAATGGTTGCTAAAGTGCTCTGGGATGTTTCAAAATGATCCTTGCCTGCTTGTTTTAGTAAACACCACTAATAAATGGTGTCTAAAAAGCGGTTTCCCGAATAACAGTGTTAGGTTATGAAACCACTTAAGCCTCTTCTCTCAAAAAGATTCTAAAAGAGGAGGCTGCCGGCCATCTGCTTTGATATCCTCTGGCCTCTGTGTGGAAACACATTTTAAAGGGTACAAGATGGAAACACTTTTCTACAGGAGACAAACAGTCATGTGGTGTCTGTGGAAGATCTAAAATAAGCCCCGTGAGCATGTGTAACCATGTAGGCCACAGACCAGCCGTACTGTAAGCTCCTGAGACGTTCCACACCGCAGAACCGCCTCTTGGTTCTTTGACAGACACTTCCTCCCACACTAAAAAACAGATGTTAAACAGAAAGAAGGCTGGCCCACTTGTCCTTCTTTATTAGGCAGAAACACAAAACATACAGATCTTCCTCCCATCATAAAATGCAAACCCCTTTCATGTCTTTGTCTCATGACCTCAGCTGACCTCGTGCCAGACGTGTGCCCATGTTACTTGTCTCACACAGTTTCCTTAAACTCTTTCACTTCTGCAATTCAGTAGCCGACACCCCCTCTCCTTCCAATTGTCTCCTAAAAGAAACAACAGTGGGCGCTACCAAAAAAAGGTTCTGTCTGAACCACAATGTTGTTTGTGAGGGAGACAGGCAGGCAGGAATCATCTCAGTTACCCACACCAACCACTCCAAACTCTCCGCAGTCATTAAAAACCTCTCAGCTCAGCGGACACGCCACCGCAAGAGATTCACAAAACAAGCACAGGAAAACAACGCCTGCCATATATTGGACCTCACAAAATCAGCTACTCAGCATGCAAGAAATTAACACAGACATCAAGGACAGAGCCTTAAAAAAGTAAATGAGAGCCTAAAAGAAGCACATACCACCAATACAGACCTTAAATGAGAAGGAGCTGCAGTTGTCCTATTGTGCCAGAAATATTCATTTAATACACATTTAAGTTGCTTGACAACCAAAAACAGCCTAAAGTTTTATGAACCTAAGAACAGTTTTATGAACAGGCTTATGAACTATTACGTGGTAGAATAATTGTTTATTCTAGTAATGAGAGCCTAAAAGAAGCACATACCACCAATACAGACCTTAAATGAGAAGAAGGAGCTGCAGTTGTCCTATTGTGCCAGAAATATTCATTTAATACACATTTAAGTTGCTTGACAACCAAAAACAGCCTAAAGTTTTATGAACCTAAGAACAGTTTTATGAACAGGCTTATGAACTATTACGTGGTAGAATAATTGTTTATTCTAGGGCTGAACTGATATTAAAATTCTGGCTGATACTGATCAGTTATTTTCTTCATTTTATAACCAATAAACAGGTAAGTGAAGAATATTAAAATTATATTAGAAGTTAAAAATAAATTAAAAGTAAACACTACAAAATATCATAACATTATAATGAACAGCATGAAAAATGGTTATTCCTTTTGAGACTTCTAAAGATTCATTTTAATAGTGCTATTCAATTATTCATGTTTTTACAGATTAACTTTAGCTTTGACTGCATAGATAATCTAAACGTAAAAATAATCTTGCACAATATCCAAAACACGCAGATATATCCAACACTGAATGATACTGATAAAAATAAATAAACAAATAAATGGCGACAAGGAAAATATGATAAAAGGCACCTATTTTCAATAAACGGTGACATTTATTAATATTAATAACTGGAATAACATAGGAATGCACAATATATTGATGCCATATATTAGTTATATAAAAAGCAATAAGCCACGCAAGGTGGTGTGTTATAGTGATTTAACCACAGCTAAGGGACATAACCTCAAGTGGTTTATTGTTCTAATTAAGGAAGAGAAAAGAAGAGATTTTGTGGTTTGTGAGAAGATCAAGGTCAGAAGTACTATTCCAAATGTGGCACATCCTTCTGAACCACTAGCCAAAACAGATGACACAGACTCAGATCTTCTGAGGAACCTGCTTGTTCCACAAGAAAAAAAAAAGATCTTAACCAAAACGATTGCACTAAATCTAGAGCCTGTGTTGTTAAATTCTGCAGAGGTTTTATTGAGTTCGCTCACAGTGAGTTCAGACCAAATTCACAAAGTATTTTTGGCCACCAGCTGCATTGTAAGTACAGCATGACTTTTAATAAGACCTGCAGGCCATATGAGCGCAGCAAAGATGTTCAAATCTCATCCTACCTTTAACCCCCCAAAAATAACAAAAACATTTTGA